TTGTACCCACCATACATAAGCGCGAGGTCAGTTACCGATTGGTAACCTTACCATCGACTGACCTGGCAATTTTGTAACCGACCTCGCTGTTTTCGCGCTACCCCATTATGCGCTTCTTAGATGAGTCATGAGCATTTGGAGTGCTCAGCACATCACGATCACCCGTGTATCCACCGTCAGCAATTGCCTTCTTTTTGAATTCGTGCAACTTGTCGCGTAGGCCACCGTTTGCTCGAAACATAACTCGGTCAGGGTTTTCTCCTGCTTTCTCAGCCGGCAAAATTTGTAGCACCTGACTGCGAACAAGGGACAGAACAATCTCAGTATTGTATCCAGCTGAATGGTGCTTAAAATCAAACATGCCGGGATCCTTCGCCAATTCAGGATGGGCAACTTCCCAAGCCGCAGTCATAGTAGCATCAATAGAGCAGATCCAGATGTCATCTCCATGAATGTGATCTTCCGGCCAATAAACTTTGGAGGCAAGGAGACGGGCTACTTTCTCAACGAAATACCAAACCCACTCTCGCTGTGTTGCCACCCGATGTTGATATGCGCAATTTCGCTCAGTTTCAGTGGGATAGCGCTTCAAGAAATGCAGTGCCATGAAGTAATATTTCAGCTTGAGCTTCTTCTCTGGCACTCTTGCCTCATCAATCGATGTTGTCTGCAAATCTTCCCAGATTTGAGCAGCCACAATAGGGATGGGACCGTAGCGATCCTTGAAGGTCTGAACCTTCGACTTATTACCCCATTTTGACAATCGCTTATCTGTGAATCCAGCGAGTGACAAACCCTCAGCAAGCATCTCGTCTGGCGTCTTGATTGAGTACACTACATACCCATCCTCATCAAAATCGTCAGCCATGTTGCTATCCTCTTGTCTTTGTTGGTTGTATGTCGACGCGGTGGGTGTTACATGTACTTCGTCGTGCTTTGTGGCTTGTGGTTGCTGCTGCTCGACGACGCGATGACTGGTTGATCGAACCGTATGGGTACGCGAAATAAGGGAATGTTAAGGGAATGTTAAGGGAAAGTGAAGGCTTAAGGGAATGTTTCGAAGCCTTAAGGGAATGTTTTTAAGGGAATGTTTATTTAAGGGAATGTTTAGGGAATGTTGAGGATTTAAGGGAATGTTAAGGGAATGTTTCAAAACGATCATCAGTCGTGGCAATTTTGAGTTTATTTTAAATCCTGAGTGAAAACCGTCGGACGGTCCAGGGCTCCACGGTCGACTACTAGTATCCCGCCTCACATACATAGTCTAATCATCCAAAATCCACCCTTCGCTTCGTACATTCCGTACATGTACCAGGTACTTCATATTTCACACTTGCACACCGTCGTGGCACTACCGGTACACACTGCACATGGAGTGTTTCACTTGACGCCTTGCATTGCTCAGCTAGAGTACAGTACCACTCATGAATAAGGAGCCAACCAGTTGGCGCTTATTGAACTTTAACCCGTGCCCGGGGGCTCCGTTGTAAAGACATCATCGGCTGTCAAAAGCTTCATGACACTTCCCAAGGTCCTGTTGAACAAACAATGAAAGAAGGCAAAGCAAGAGTGGTCAGACAACAACTCGGTAGATGGAAGGAGTGGTTCAAACATTGCAGTGCTTGCTTCATTGATTGCTCACCTGTCCATGCTAAGAATTGGGTGGGATGGATCGGAATGTCCTTCCTTGAGTTGTGGTAGGATACAGCTGCTGTAGTCCCTGTCAAAGATCTCCTTGACAAGCTGCATGTCCTTTTCATATTCACCAATAAAGATGGGTCCATGCAAGACCGCGTCGCTGAGCGACTTTGAGATTTCTGATTTGCCTCCACCCGAGACGGTCGATGGCTTGTGACAAAAGGTGGGTTCCGCCAACATTCCGATGAGTCTCCACTTAGGTACTGTCGGATGGCGCGAAATTTGCGTTTTGTATCCCGATGGATGTACGTATAGGTGGTTTGGCTTCAATCGCAAGGACTCGAGTTTGTTGGTCTTGCGATTGGTGAATGTCGTAGTTTGTGAATGAACATCGAGCTGCATGTCTTCGGGCAAGATGTGAATGTCAGGGAAGCGCTTATCGGTGGCATATCCTTCGGGGTGCAATGTGACGGTGTCGCCAAGGAGCTTCAAGGCATCTTCAAACTTGTATGATTCGGGTAGCCACAAACAAAAGCAAGCAAGAGGTGTTGTCAGATGTCAGAAGTGCACTTGCAAGGCGAATGGGAGTGCAATGTCATGTGCTACGAAAGGAGGACTGATTTGGCATACGCATGGGAAGCAGAGCCAGGTACCTGTAGTAGTACCGGTCAGGGCACAAACGGAACCATGCTGCGCTCAACATGTGTATTAGCTTTGGGTACCATAAAATGAAGAGATTAAATCTTCCAATTCGGGTCTGCAAGGAATCGAATCAATCCTTCAGTCGCGATTTTGTTCCGTTTCAGTCTTATCTTTGCCTGATCCGTCGATTCCATGGAGGCAATGGCCTTCACAAGTCTTCAAGCAGCCAGCAACGGCAACGCTAACAAAAATGACAGACAATGTCAATCGCAACATGAGCATGAACAGCAGTATGAAGGCTTCTCTTCGCATTCGCTGCATCCCCTGTGGACAACTCATGCCCGTGGTAGGTGAAGGGTATCACTACCAGCAGCACGACCACGACGATATAAACAATGTTCGCAATGCTGCTACTGGATTCGGTACGGATGTGCATAGTAATGCCATTAGTGATCTTGTCTTCGATGCTTCAATTGACGTGGTTCATCCCAACAAGGCCTTAGCACTTACCGGTGGCACCAGTACTGGTACTAGTAGTTGTGCTAAGATTGTTGCTCGTATGTCTGATGAACCTGACGTACGGTTTGCTCTTGTTACGGCGCGGTATCTCAAAAACCGCATGGATCAATCTAGTAGCTTGGGAAAGGACCTTCTGAAGGCCATTACCATTCATGACATGAAAGCCATTTATGCTTTGCTTCAACAAGGCGCAGACCCAAACTTCACAGAGCAGCTCTGCTGGCACGATGAAACTACCAAACTCGTGCATCATTGCTGGCATCCGGACGGAACTCCCTTCCTCTGCCCTCCTTTTGATCCTCTCAAGGAGGAACGGCCTCACCAGCCAACTCAGCCACTCTCGCATATCTGCCATGATTTCTTCAAATTGGGTATCACACATCAGTGCTACCATCAACTCCTCGCTGACATTGCCGAAATACTCATTCAACACGGAGCCCGAATCACTCAAGCAGACATGTGGTACATCACAAACTCCCCCAACAACCCCACTCTTTTCTACCAAAACAACCCAAACATCATCATTCCCATGTTCGACTTACCATCCAAGAATGTGTATTCTGTCGTCACGGCTGCTCGAGAAGCCATTGAAGGACTGCATGCGCTCTGCCAAGTATATCCCATCTTTGACTTTGCAACCTACCTTAGGACACAGCACGAACACGAAAATAAACATCATTCTCTGAAAGAGACAAACTCAGCAGACAGCGACAGTGACGGTGAAAGCGAACACGATGACGACAGTGACGCCAACACGCCAGCATCCGCTTACACCATCCACGTAACCGACAAGCTCATTCGAGCATCTCCGGCTCTTCTTCCTTACTACACTGCGTTTGTATACCAGTCGGCCTGCAAACGATTTGCGTCCCAAAAAAGCGTTTACTTTGGCAGTCCACACAAGCAAACCAGACAAAGAGGTCCATCCCGAACAAAGAAACTAGTTTTGCCAGCTTTGCCACCCCAAATCGAAGCGCAAATTAGGGCCATGGCCATGGATGTGCACCACGAAAACTTTTCGGCAACCAGCATTCCAGATCCAATTGTCTCGCAGACACAATGAGTAGTTCGGAGACATGTCCGCTGTGCCTGGGTGGTGCAATGCATGGATGGAAACGATTAGAGATCGATCGTCGCAACCCCTGTGGTGTCGTCCCCTGGTTGGGGTAGCCACGACGTTTCCTTTTCTCCCGAACGCACGAACCAAGGTCAATCCTGAACGTTTTACCAGACGAAAGCTATGCATGGCTCGTTTTCATGGTGTGCATCGCGGCTCTTTCAGGTTGCAGCAAAGCAAGCTACCGGTACACGAAAGGCCATTTGCCTTTTCGGTTTGGCGCTACGTACACAGCGTAGATAACGGTACATGTAACGATACGGTAGCACCGCTTATAATTGTTGTGTTGTTGTTTGAGTTCTGAAAAATGGATTTGAATTGATTAATAAAAAGCGATGCATTCGAGCGTGAGAGTGTACCGAGTATGGCAGTCTGACTCATCCCCAGTCGTTTCCTTCCCTACATGTATTGATGTATTGATAATTTGATTGATGTCATTGTCGATCGTTGCTTGGACAGCCCACTGCTACCGGTACTAGAACTGTGGCACGAGAGCAGCCACCGACATGAGCAAGACCGTCGTGGTGGCTACAACGACTCCGAGAGCCTTCCACCCCGTGAGCCAATTCCTGGTGACGTGCTGCAAGTAGATGTAGGTTGGCATTTGCAAGGTGGCGGCACCAGCACTTTCAGCCAGAGTGTCGGAGACCTTGTCTAGCGGGACCTCGCAATTGTCGGCTTCTGGAAATCGCTTTGCGTCCAAGTAGTCTGTTGATCGATGGCAGAATACATAGTGAGGCGATGGATCATGAGCAAAAATTGATTGTTCCGTGTTCGTCTTTGTAGTACATGTACTGTACCGGTACGTACCGAACATGGCTTGAATTTGTAGGTTTTGTGTGTTTACGATTTCGTATAGAATGCCTTCTAGGATGCAATCCGGGTCTTCATCATTGGCCAAATCCGCACAGTGAATCTTTTCCGTTTTGAGCAGGGCCTTTGCCATATTTACGGCATTTTGATGATGTGGTATCATTTGATGAATGAAGAGTGCTCGTTCGTCCTGGGCCTTGATTCCCGTAGTCATTCCAGTCTGTAAATAAACAAAAACGTAGAACGGGGCAAAATACATGTATCATGAGGTGTGAGATGGCATGGTTGAACTGTGATCACACTATTTTTAAAAAATAAAATGCACTTACGAGCATGGCACAATTCATGGCGTCAATACATGATCCAAAGTGTGCCATTTCAGGTGTGACCATTGGATCGTCCTTGTCACAAACAAAGTGATCTGGACAGTGTGGATTATCCGGAGTTTGGTATTGTCCAAGAGCAAAGGTTCCGCATTCCTTGTCAAAGTCCGAAAGCAGAGGTGTATTGTAGTCGAATTCGAATCCCAAAGTTGGAACATCTTTTTTGATGATTGGAATTCCATTTTTTGTGACCTTGATTCTTCCTGCCATCCATTCATGAATGTGGCAGAATATGAACATGTCTGAAGTGATATCTGGATCATCGACTCTCAATTTGATAGTGAAATTTCCAAACTGTGCCCATTCATGTGGATTTCTCATAAAGAGAGGTTCATAGACATCGAGTCCGAAATCTTCTTCATGGTGAGTGATGTTTTTGATGTCAGGATTGTTGCTGTAGTGTCCCACATACTCATCATTGATAAAGTACATGGGCGCATGACAAGTGTAGTCTTGGATGCAGGATTGATTTCCCCTGGAAGTTCCTGGCTCCACTTCAATTTTGAGTTCTTCATCTCCATAGGGCGAGTAAGCAAATCCAATGGGATGAAAGTAATTGCTCCTGTGTGTTTGGACAAATGTGTATGTCTCTCCCAATTCCACTGCAATGGTGGGATTCACATTGTCCAGCCCACACTCTTCAAACACATAGTAACCAAGCTCTCCTGCATACAAATTCACTCTGGCATGAAACACATTGTTGGGAGAAACACACAGAGTCTGGTTCTCTGTGGCTCCTTCTACTGAAACCACACCACATGTAAACAAACACAAACTCAGAAACAGAAATAACTTGATCAGTTTCATCATCTTGCTGCTGCTGCTGCTGCTGCTGCAAAGAAGAAGAAGAAACAATGACTGCGATTGCTGACTTGAAAAAGTTGTGAGCCAGAATGAAGAAACGAATGATATCTGATCTGCGGGACCACTATCTGCGAGGTATCTTTGGCAATGATGACCTGAATCGAATCAGATGACCAGTGAATCCAACGATTGACAAGGGTCATTTTTCCTTCTCTAACCTCTAACAGTCTCACAGTCATCAATTTGAAATCACCAAATAAATAATTCTCAATGACTTGACTTCTGTTTCCCTGATTGACATTGGACAAGGATAAAAAAGTGTGTAGCTCAATTAATTAAATAGAATAGGAGTATAGGGTTTTCAGTACTGGTACTCAATTTTGATTGCCAGGTTCTTTCCATCAGACATCAGACATCAGACCATCAGATAGATGAATAAGATTCTTTCCATCTGGTGTCTTCCTCGCCAGTCAACCTGCAAGACATCAAGACATAAGGGGTTTCACTTGCTCTTCACTGCGCACTTCTTGCAATGCTAGCCACTATTAATACATGTAGTACTCAGTAGCACTGGGCAATAGAGTAATAGCTAGCTAGTATTGTGCTCCTTTCACTCTCCAAACGTCCAAACGTCCAAACGTCCAAACTCCAATGGCCAAAGTCTCAATGACCCTGGGCACTGGGCACAGAAAAAGACTTACCCGCACAGGTTCCACCTCGATTTCGCTGGGGTCAATCAATCGTAATCTCAGCCATCATACACCCATCGCAGCATGGGAAACCATTGTTGGTCGAATGATCAAAAAGTCTTTTTTCTTTCAGATCAGACCTGAGCAGACCTGTGCTATTAGTCTGCTTCCATTTATCCAACCAGCTACTCTATTAATACTAGCTAGCTAGTAAGTTAGGCTAAGTTTAGCTAAGTCAAGCTGAGCTAAGCTAACCTAAGCTAACCTAAGTTGAGATACCCTCAGAAGCCCATTGAAGAAGCCCATTTTGAAGAAAGAAGACAAGTGAAGAAGACAAGTGAAGAAGACAAGTGAAAGACAAGAAAGAAGACAAGATGATGGAAGGCTCTTCAAATGGAGGTCTGGCTCTGTCAGAAGCGTTTGAGTATGATGGATCTTCTTGTATTGGAGAGAGTGAGGGAGGTTCTCAGATAGATGGACATGGAGCATCAGTAGACCACAGAGAAACTCTCCTCAATGAGAGAAAGATTGTGGAGAAAATGGCTCAGAAGGAATCGCAAAAGGTCAAATTGTGGAGACGCAATGTCCTTGTTGTCATGGCGCTCACAGGGGCGTTGGTCACTGCCATGACTTATATTTTCCTAGATAGAGTGGATGTGGAAGATTTTGAAGCTTCAGTAAGTACCTGCCTGACCTTGACAACTTGTCTTAATAAGACAGGAGATCAGATCAGAGATCAGACCAACATTCCAACGACAGTCCAACAATCAGCAATCAGAGTGGATCATTCTGTTGATCGTATATCAGTCAGACAAAGTTACGATCGGACGTTGCCGAACCGAAAACGCACCGAAAACGCAACGGAATTACGAAAATGTCGTTACCAAACTGATCTGAGCCAGGTTCGGAGGGATCAGTGATCCACTGATGCTGCTGATTGTGGGACTACCATACCGGTACATGTTGGACTGATCTCATCTCTGATCTGATTTGATCTGATCTCTCTTGTCTCATCTGACCTCGATTTCTTTGCTTGATCTGATGTTTCTCACTGTTTCTTTTGCTTCGCTTCCCTTGCTTGTCTCCTTCCTCCTTCATCATTCTCGCTCCACTTCCCACTACCTACTCCCTGTCAAACCAAAACACTACATTTCAGTTCCAACAATTTGCACAGAGCATTCGCGATTCTACTGAATTCAACCTCAGGGGACTCATTGAAGCTACCAATGGACTCGCACAAGTATTCACCTCAGAAGCTATCAAGACAAACAGTCACTGGCCTTTCATGACACTATCCAGTTTCGAAGTATACGTCACAAACACGAGAGCTCAGGGAGCTTCCGAACTCATTGTCATTGCCCCGTTTGTAAACTCAACACAAATTCCACAGTGGAACCAATACGCTACCGCCAGTCAGGGATGGATCGATGAATCCTTCCAAGAATACGACACGGGACGTATCGATCTCAATCCGATTCCTTCCTCCGTTTACCGATTCGGACGATTCAAGGGACGAACCGTGCTCAAACCAGAAGATGGACTCGGGGGATACCCAGCTGCTCCATTCTGGCAAATGTCAAGACCTCCTTTTGACACTTCCATTGTCAACTTTAATGCACTCTCTGAAGAAGCGTACCAACAAATGTACGACGCAATGACACAAACCAATCACTGGGTCATGGGAATTGCTGGACCAAACACACTCATCGATTACACAATCAGCGAACAACAACACGATGAACTACACTCGGCCAGTGAACTCAACTCCATCAACAATACCGGATTCGCTAATGATCATCCACACACGGCACTCCTGTATCCCGTCTACCGTGACAAAGACGCTTCACATCCATCCGGGTCAGACATCAACTCGCCACAGGTGGCCATGATTCTCAATGTTATTCCATGGGATAACTACATCAAACGATTGCTCCCCCATGGAGTCAATGGCATTTACTGTGTCTTGCACAACTCGGCGGGACAGCATTTCACATACAGCATTAGCGGACCCGATGCCGCATATCTGGGACCCGAAGACTTTCACGAACGAGACTTTGACGAATACGAAGTACGAATTACCTTTGACCAATTCCTAGACTTGGCACCATCCACCGTCAATGAAAGCTACACGGGCGTATTTGCGAACTATGGAAACTTAGAGTACTGGTTCTCCATCTATCCCTCCAAAGAACTCAAAAGCGGATACGAGACCAACACGCCCATCATTTTTGCAGCGGTTGTTGTGGCCGTCTTTGTTTTCATGACCGTCACGTTCATCTTGTATGACCGATACGTCACTCGCAAAAACAACAAAATACTCGATGCTGCAACGCATTCCAATGCCATCTTGGCGGTACGTTCCAACAAACAAACAAATCAAAGAGCCACCGTGCTGTGTCGTCGTTGCTACATGTACTTCGCTTTGCGCAAATTGACTAACCAACCCTGTCTCCTCTCTCCTTCTCGTCGATCGTTGGATCTCTCTTGTTACGTACGTACGCCGCAGTCTCTGTTCCCACAAAACGTCAAGGAACGGCTCTTGGAAGACAAGGCACAAGAAGTACAAGCAGAAGCAGCCAAGAAAAAGGAAGAAAAGAAGTTGCAAAAGAAGGGGTTCCGAGCGGATATGGATCACTCCATGGAGGATTTTCTTAGCAGGGAAAATCTTGGGGGTGAGGATGCCAACGATGAAATCCTCAAATCCAAGCCTATCGCTGACGTGTTCGAAGAAGCGACGGTTCTCTTTGCTGGTGAGTGCACGACGATAGCAAGACTCAACTCGTGCATTGCTGCATAGCATGCCAAAAACCATACTCACGAATTCTTGTTGCGGAAATTTCCAGACCTGGTTGGTTTTACGGGTGCGACTCTCTCGTTTGTCAAAGGGTTTTCGCTTCTTTGGTTCGAACTCGTCCTGACGTGCTGTCTCTCCATTCTCTCTCCTGGTCGTACTCAGCCTGGTCCAGCAGTCGTCAACCAACTGGTACGTTGTGTACATGTGTGCATTCTCTTTTGGATTTCCGGTTGCTGGCTCCTCACATGAGTATATATTGCAACCCCTTTTCTTTCATCAGACGTATTTGTGTTGCTGGAAACCCTCTACAGAAACTTTGACATGGTCAGTCTCCACAAACGAATTTTGTTTGAAATTTCGCTCTTGCAGGCACCGTGCCCTAATCGAGTTTTTCCACTATCGCACCCTCCGCGCGTTCTTCTTTGGTAACAACCATAGATTGCGAAACGAAGGCGCGTATACAAGGTAGAAACGATAGGAGACTGCGTAAGTGTCACGTGCTTGATCTTTTTGCTTCGAAAGATTCGCCCTGTTCAAATTCCTCAACGTGATGCTCTCGCCGTAATCAACAGTATGTCGCCGTGACGGGATGTCCGACTCCTCGAAAGGACCACCATGTGGCAATGTGCCGCTTCGCGACAGAGACTATGCGAAAGATGAAGAAGCTCTGCCGCAAACTTGAGAGCGTGCTCGGTCCTGATACTTCCGATCTCAACATGCGGTTTGGACTGCACAGTGTAAGTTGCCGCGATTCAGTCAAGTCAAAGAGCAGTTCGTGTGGAGGATCCGTTCCGGTCTCTCTATGCATGCGCTGACGCCATCTCTCTTCCTGTCGTCACAGGGCTCAGTGACGGGTGGGGTCCTTCGCGGCGAGCGCTCTAGGTTCCAACTTTTCGGTACGTTGCCTCCGTTTCAGCCATCTCGTCGAGCTGAGAGCTTCGTTAGTCGGCGTTCTCTGATATGCATTGCACCGATTTGTGATTTCTGGTGTGACAGGTGACACAATGAATACAGCAGCTCGCATGGAATCCAATGGCCAACCAGGGAAGGTTCACTTGTCGGATAGTACAGCTGACCTACTCATCAAATCCGGCAAGCAACACTGGGTTGTAGAACGAGAAGACAAAATTGTAGCCAAGGGCAAAGGGGAAATGACCACATATTGGCTCCGAAAGACGACCAGTGGTCCTTCGTCGGTGGTGTCGTCAATGGACTCGGACGACATGACCGAAAATGATGACGAAAGTGAAGAACAGGAAGTTGTTGAAGTGGAAATGGGCAATGTCTCCATTCAGCTCAACCCCAAGACGCAAAGAGTTGTCGACTGGACCGTGCAGAGCTTTATGAACATTCTCGAGCGGTTGGCGACTGCGAGAGAAACACACGGTCTCCAGCGCGACATCAGGGATAAGACAGCTGCCGCCTCATCGTCAGCAACTCCCCTGGACGAGTTGCAAGACATCGTTTCGTTCCATCGATACCCAGATGCCCAAAAGGACACTGTTGCAGATATCGTTTTGGACCAGCACATAGAAGACCAAGTTGAACTCTTTGTCGCGATAATCAGCAGGAAGTACGGCAAAAACAACAGTTTCCACAACTTTGAGCATGCAGCTGCCATGTTGCAAACGGTCCTAAAGCTCTTCTCTCGAATGGGGAATTCCAAGGGGTCCGACGACGCGCTTGACTTCTCCTCTGATCCTCTGGCGGTCTTTGCCTGTGCTTTCACTGCACTGATTCATGACGTTGGTGAGTTTTCCTGCTGAGCATTTCAAGTGTGACATTCCTCGAGTTGTGTGTAGCTTGGCTAACTATTCCAAATTCCCCACCATCAGATCACCCCGGCGTACCGAACTTCAGGCTCAAAACAGAAAACCCAGAGCTGGCTGCAAAATTCAAGGACCGGAGCATCGCGGAGCAGCACTCGTTTAAAGTTGCGTGGGATCTACTGCAGGAGGAGAGATTCAATGACTTCCGTAATACAATCTGTCCAGATTCAGCCGAGGAAGCTCGGTTCCGACAATTGGTCATTACAGCGATTATGGCAACGGACTTGTTCGACAAAGATCTGAACGATCAGCGCATTCAACGCTGGACTAAGGCCTTCGAATCGGGGGGCAGTGGCCAGGAAGAGGAATCTCCCAAGCAGGCACTGGATAGAAAAGCCACGATAGTACTCGAAACTTTGATCCAAGTTGCTGATATTTCTCACACAATGACACACTGGTAAGTCCTTGACAAAGATTTCCATTTCTATGGTGGTGCTCTTACCTAGCTAGTTCAAGCTTGAGAATCTAACTTCAACGCGATCCTTTTTATTGCTCAGGGAAATCTATCGAAAGTGGAACAACAACCTCTTCGAGGAAATGAACAAGGCATTCTCTGATGGCCGCTCGGAGGATCCGTCCAGTTTCTGGTACCAGGGTGAACTAGACTTCTTTGACAGGCACGTGATTCCGTTGGCGAAGCAAACCGCGGAGCTTGGCTGTTTCGGGATCCTCGGTGGGGAATTCTTGCAGAAGAGCAACCAGAATCGTGAGGAATGGGCTGAGAAAGGGAACCAAATCGTCGCGCAGATGAAGTCATCGAATGGAAAACGCGAGGGGGTGGCCACCACCGATGACTTACCTGAGCAATTGCCCCCGCCTCTGTCTCCGGCTCGAGCCAGGATTCGGAGCATTCGAAAAAGTCAAAAGGTATCACAATCATCACTCACGGGGCGGAATGGCTCCTTCGCGACTGAAAACCCGGAGTCTACAAATGACATGGGGATGCCGTACGCACCCATGTTGGACAATGGCGCCGGTAGAGAGGATCGCGAGGCACCCAAGGACGACCCACTTCCACTTTCGACTTCTGAGCAACTCCAAACCGGGGCGAATGAGTTGTCTTCGTCAAGAAGGAGAAGTACTAGCGCGGCCAAGGCTCCAGCCTTGAAGGACGGGACGAGAAGGAGAAGTACCAACTCAGACTCCGCCAGCGCAAATGACGATCGTCACGTCGCGTTCCAACTCTCGCATTCCAGCAGTGGGGACAGATCCGACAAGACTGTCACTTCTTCCGAGGGTGCTGAAATCTTCGTTGACGACAGTCCAACTTCTTCAGGCCAAACAAGCGGTGAAGTATTCCACGATGAAATTGACGTATAAGTACATATGCAAGTGGCTTTAGGGACGATGTTTGTGCTGTGGGGGCGTGATCATTGTGAAGATGGTCGATATTGATACGGAAGACGACTATGGGGACCGATGTACGTTAGGTCGCGATGGGGATGCCCTGGGGTTTGGTTTTTGTGTACGGACCGAGACAGCATCTGTAGGATCACGGAGTCTGAGCTCTTGTGTCAAGATAGCTATATAGTATTATTCATGTTTGGCAATTGTTCGCTTCACCCAAGTCGCTTCCAAATGCTGGGTCGATTGTTTGACCATGGAAGGCAAGGCTCAATTAGCTGCACTCTCCGAGACGTACACTGCATTCGTAGGACCAGTGAAAATACTGAAGCAGAGTGGTCCCCACCAATAGAGCCAGATAACAGCAAAGAGCACGCGAAAGGAGCACGGGGACACGATCTTGCGGTTCTCTCGACGAAAGGCCAAACTTGGCAGCAGCAGCAGCCCCGAGGGGGCTCAAGCTCCCACCCATTGACACGGCCAATGCAAGTTGCATCCAGCAGTAAGGACTGGCGTATGGAAACGTATCACCAAAGATCAAAACGGACGCGACAGGAGAAGCGACTGCGCTGATGAGGCTGAAGAGCGACGACGTGGCAGTGGTACACCACCAGCCTTGCATCAATCGCTCAGAACAGCTGCCGAGGACAGACTCCACAATGTACATGGGAACGCCTGTATCTGTCCATCCACTCACCAAGACCATGAGACTGGTGTACCAGAGAAGAATGCCGTAGTCTAGGTTTGCCACGAGGCTGTAAGCATCTTCCAGCAATAGTAGCTCTGATCCGTTTTGACCGAAAGTCAGCCCCCACAGCATCAGCAACACGGCCATGCCAATCAGCGCCATGATGACATTAGAATCATAAAAGTACAACAAAACCAAACCAAGGATCGGAAAACTGTCGATCCATTTCCCACGAGAGCAGCTGTGATTCGGAGTGGTGGGAGACAAAGAGTCTGCTGCAGATTCTTCGTTTGGAGTTTTTTCACAGGGAGTGTTCTCCATACTGGTAGTGCCAATGTCCGTGGCTGATTCAGCGTCGCTGTCCACGCTTTCGATTCTGTTGGAATTGGCGTCGATTTCCTGCAATGAAATAGACGAGTATTGGTCCCCGTTGTGGGCTGCAGTCTGATGTCGAAGGCGACAGTAGAGGCACAATATTAATCCAGCCAAGATTGAAGAGGCAAAGATAGGGAGAGAAAGATCCCTGGAAAAAGATGTCCAACTGATGTCGTCATATGCCTTTAAGACGATGACCATGTTTGAAAAGCTTCCCGTGAAACAGAGCGAGGATCCTGCAATGGTTGCAAGGTTTTTGCAATATTGACTTGGTCTTCTTATTATAATTGTGGCTGAACTTGCAGGATGAGTATCTTCAGGTTCTTCAGGCTCTTCTGTTGAAATCCAGAGTGCAGAGGAAATGAAGGTTCCAAGGATGCTTGAATGTTTGCTACTAGTATTTGAAGGCAGGAAAGCCGTGAACAGCATACTCCCCCAGAGAAAGACCAATGGCTCCAGCAGGACGCAACGTAAGAGTCGAAACTGTGGTCCGTCCCCCAATGCTTGAAGGCAACTCCTGAGAGCCACCATCGAGCAGCTTCCAATCATAGCAACTACTCGTAGCCTTGCTCTTAGCGCTGAAGGGCTTAACCTTAAAAAGCAGAGGACAATCAAGGCCACCAAGACAAGCAAGAAGAGAAGCGTGCAAGCGGACTTTCCAAGAAACGAGAATTCGCGCGCAACATCCAAGTGCACATATTCGCTATTCCAGGCATGAGTGCCATGGGCCTCCTGAAGCAGCAGCAAAAGCAACGAAAGCAACAACCTCATCATCGTGTATACGGTACTATTAATAGTATCCACTTGCATGGGTTTGGCTGTAAGCTATCCAAGGTTCTGTTTCCTTGGTGTCCCGCTGTGATGGCGAGCTTGAGCGGTCGTGCCGATCTCTTCCAACGTGCGACGCGACTCTGGCCAATGACGCAAAGGGTTAGAGTTTTCTTAATCAGATCTAACCCTATTGTAGATACCTTTTGTTGGGAAATTCAGTGCCGTCATTCGCGACCATGTCGCCGTTGCCATCGGCCATCGATCGCATCCATCGTCGAACATTGGCCCTGCTAACATACCAGTAGTCTCTCATTCACTAAAGCATAACATTGTATTCAAGTACAACCAGCAGGATGATGAACTCGAGTAGACTGATTGCGTTTCCCGCCAGCCTCTGTCTGTTGGCGCTACATGTACAGTTGCAGGCATCCTTGACTTGCGCTTTTGTGCCTTTGACCAATCCCGCAGGATCCTTGGTACCGGTAAGGCACCATGGTGCTAGTATGGAATTGCATGAGTCTACCGATACGTACAAGTATCCGTGGGAAGGTCCCTTACGAGACGCCAAGATGCAAAAGTTTGCCCAAG